CCCCCCCATCACCATGTGTCTAGCCCGTGGTGCTTGTAACCAAAGGCTCGGCTGGGATTCTGCCTGTGCGGGGAGGTCACTTCCGCTCTGCATCGCGTGGCCCCTACCACACTGGGCAGGGCTTCCTCTCCTTTTACGCGCAGCATCCCTGTTGCCTCCCACCCGGTGTCAACGCCCCCTCTCTCCCCTCTGTCTTCCAGCCTCTGAGAGCATGGTGTCCGGGCCCGCCATCACGGAGGACGAGGACCAGGAGGTGGATTCGGCCGACGAGTCCGTCTCCAACGACCTGCTGGCGTCGGCCGATGAGCCCTCCAAGCTGTCCTCGGCCGGCGGCCGCAGGATCCGGCGCTTCAAGCAGGAGTGGCTGAAGAAGTTCTGGTTCCTGCGCTACTCGCCGACGCTCAACGAGATGTGGTGCCACGTGTGCCGGCAGTACACGGTGCAGTCCTCCCGGACATCGGCATTCATCATCGGCTCCAAGCAGTTCAAGATTCACACCATCAAGCTGCACAGCCAGAGCAACCTGCACAAGAAGTGCCTGCAGCTCTACAAGCTGCGCATGCACCCCGAGAAGACCGAGGAGATGTGCCGCAACATGACGCTGCTCTTCAACACCGCCTACCACCTGGCCCTCGAGGGCAGGCCCTACCTGGACTTCCGGCCCCTGGCCGAGCTGCTGAGGAAGTGCGAGCTCAAGGTGGTGGACCAGTACATGAACGAGGGGGACTGTCAGATCCTCACCCACCACATCGCCCGGGCGCTGCGGGAAGACCTGGTGGAGCGCCTGCGCCAGTCACCCTGCCTCAGCATCATCCTGGACGGCCAGAGCGAGGACCTGCTGGCCGACACCGTGGCCGTCTATGTGCAGTACACGAGCAGCGACGGGCCGCCGGCCACCGAGTTCCTGTCCCTGCAGGAGCTCGGCTTCTCCGGCTCGGAGAGCTACCTGCAGGCGCTGGACCGGGCCTTCTCCACCCTGGGCATCCGCCTGCCGGACGAGAAGCCCACCGTCGGCCTGGGAGTGGACGGGGCCCATGTCACGGCCGGCCTGCGCGCCAGCCTGTTCATGACCATCCGCAAGACGCTGCCCTGGCTGCTGTGCCTGCCCTTCATGGTGCACCGGCCTCACCTGGAGGTGCTGGACGCCATCAGCGGGAAGGAGCTGCCGTGCTTGGAGGAGCTGGAGAACAACCTGAAGCAGCTGCTGAGCTTCTACCGCTACTCGCCCCGCCTGCTGGGGGAGCTGCGAGCCACTGCCTCCACCCTCTGCGAGGAGACCGAGTTCCTGGGGGACATCCGGGCCGTGAAGTGGATCATCGGCGAGCAGAACGTCCTCAACGCCCTCATCAAGGACTACCTGGAGGTGGTGGCCCACCTCAGGGACATCAGCAGCCAGACCCAGCGGGCGGATGCCTCAGCCATCGCCCTGGCCCTGCTGCAGTTCCTCATGGACTACCAGTCCATTAAGCTCATCTACTTCCTGCTGGACGTGACCGCCGTGCTCTCCCGCCTGGCCTACGTCTTCCAGGGTGAGTACCTGCTGGTGTCCCAGGTGGACGACAGGATCGAGGAGGCCATCCAGGAGGTCAGCCGGCTGGCCGACTCCCCGGGCGAGTACCTGCAGGAGTTTGAGGAGAACTTCCGCGAGAGCTTCAACGGCATCGCCACCAAGAACCTGCGGGTGGCCGAGGCCAAGTTCCAGTCTATCCGGGAGAAGATCTGCCAGAAGACCCAGGTGATCCTGGCCCAGCGGTTTGACTCCCGCAGCCGGGTCTTCGTGAAGGCCTGCCAGGTGTTCGACCTGGCTGCCTGGCCCAGGAGCAGCGAGGAGCTCGTGAGTTATGGCAGGGAGGACGTGGTCCAGATCCTCGACCACTTGCAGGCCATCCCCGCCTTTTCCCGGGACATGTGCCGGGAGGGACTGGACCCCCGGGGGAGCCTGCTCATGGAGTGGGGGGAACTCAAGGCGGATTACTACACCAAAAACGGTTTCAAGGACCTGATCGGCCACATCTGCAAATACAGGCAGAGGTTTCCGATCCTGAACAAGATCACCCAGGTCCTGAAAGTCCTCCCCACGTCCACCGCCTGTTGCGAGAAGGGCCGCAGCGCCCTCCAGCGGGTGCGCAAACACCACCGCTCCCGCCTGACCCTGGAGCAGCTCAGCGACTTGCTGACCATCGCCGTCAACGGGCCGCCCATCGCCAGTTTCGACGCCAAGCGAGCCTTGGACAGCTGGTTCGAGGAGAAGTCTGGTAACAGCTACACGCTCTCCACCGAGGTCCTCAGCAGAATGACCGCCCTGGAGCCGAAGCCGGCGCTCCAGGCCGCGGACCAGGGCCCCGAGTTTTACCCCGACATCTAGGGCGCACGCGCAGCATGCCCCAGGGGCCGCTGAGTATTTTTTTTAACCTACACTCCTAAGCTTTGATATATTCTATAAATATAAATATTATATAAAGACATATACAAATATCGACGCACACGTACACATCCCCACTGAAAATTATTTTTAAACAGCGAGGCGGCTCACCTCCGTCCATGCAACTGGGAGCTTTCAGAAAGGAAGGTCGTGGAAGCAAGCTCCCATCCACACATCCCAGGCAGCTTCGACACAGGCGGCCACAGCCTGGGGCCACGCGAGCATCCCCACCCGGCAGCCAAGCGACCGCAGCATCAGCTAACATGGCAGGTGTCTGAGGTCACCTCTCTGTAGTGGCTCTCTTGTTCCTGTGGACGTGCAGGGTGGTGGTAGCGGTGGTAGTTGTTACGTTCTTGCCTTTGGTTTGGCTGTCTGGTTTCGTGGCGGTGGAGGGAGTACTTCGTGGCCGCTCCACCAGCCGTGTGGCGGAGCTCCGTCAGCTGTTTGCTGGGAGCCAGGGTGGGTGGCCTTCTTGGGTGGGGGTGTTCAGCTTGAGCCAGGGTTCCTTCTCTGTCTTAGAAATGACCCTCAACCAAACTGTGACCCCATTACTCTCCAACTCGGTCCCCTCTCCCTTCCCTAGGCGATCAGTCCCCTCCTTCCCGCTCCCCACCACATACAGCCTGTGATACCGAAGGCTGATTTGCTATGGCGCTGAGCTGGAAACCCCACCACCACCACCCCACCCCCCCAGGGAGGAGAAAGGAGTGAGCTTCGTGCATTCCCCTTTTGGTTTGCTTCCATCCTTCTTTTTGTCTTTTTGGTGAGGGGAAGGGGGAGTAGGGAAGGAGAAAAAAGGCATTGAGACCCAGGCCTGTTGGGGACATGAAGTGGCAAGAAACTCAGCTCCCAAGAGCTCAGTGATTTGGGGCTTAAAAAAAAGAAAAGGAAAAAAGGTTAGACGAGAAGTATATACCCAATTTACATGACTTATTTATATTCTATCTTTATAATCATATCTTGTGTTGGGGGTGGTGGTCATGTTTCCTTCAGTAATCGAGATGCGGCCTGCGATCGTTCCGGGGTAGGCAGGTGTCCCAGCAAGCTGGGACTGGGGGGATGTGTCCCTGGAGTGAGAGTCTCTAGGTTGTAGAGGCCGACACACAGTCTGCAGCCTGTCAGGAAGGCTGTAGAAGCTAGGTGCAGTGTCTTTGTGCCCGGGAGCACGGGCTTCTTGTGTTGAACAGGGTAGAGACATCCTAAAGGGCAGAAGAAAAACAAGACAGGTTAAAGGGGACTTTCAAGGCATGAGCTTGCACACGCACACACATACCCAGACACAAAACCATGATATAAGCTTTAGAAATAGCTACTTGTCTGCTCCCTGGGCCAAGTAGCGGTTTAAAGGAGTATGCTCAGCACTCTTTGGTTCATCTGTCTACCGGTATACCTCACAGGGGAGTTTTAAACACACACACACACACACACACACACACACACACACACACACACACACGTGAGCTGTTAACAAAACAAAAACTGTACCTGTTTCTACATTTGGTCTATGCATCTTTTCTGTGCAGACAGCGTGGAACATGGCTACAAGCTGGGGGGGTTGGGGGGGGCTGCGTTAGAGAGGGTGCTCAGTTCTGCTCATGTAGCCCAGCGGCCCGTCTTGCTGGAACTGGGCTGGCTCCCTCCCTCCTCGGTTGATCTGGGCCCAGAGGCTTCGTCCACCGTTGAGAACCGTTAGGGAGAGGTCAACCCCATGGACTGGGTCCCTCCTCCTCTGTCCCACCGTGATCTCTACCCCACCAACCCCCCTCCATGGAGCCCTCCCCTCCACCCCATTGGTCTTGGTGCTAAGAGAACTTTAGAATCACTGCTGCTAGTCAATAGCTTTCATTATATAAATATATATATTATATATTATTTTTGGAAAAAAAATTTTTTTTGGTTTGTTTTCCACAGTGATGTAGCATGCTAACGACAAACTGGTTTCCTCTGATGGTCCCACTGCCAGGCCACATATGCTGCCTTCTTCGTCAAATCAATGCACCCTTGTCTGGTGGCTTTCCCCCACCTGACCCCAGCTGCATGCTCCCACCCCCATCGTCCCCCTCCCTCCTCGGGCAAGGAGAAACTCAGTAGGAACTAGCCACAAAAGACCCCAAGCTGCTTTCTGGAAACCCCACCCTCACCCCACCCCCCAGCCTAGCTCTCCTTTCCCACTTGAAGCTGGTGGCCCCTGTCTAGTGCCCCTCTCATCCAGGTTAATGCAGAACTGATCATGTGAGGTGTCGATGCCAAGCACAAGTTCCCACCTCTCCCTCCTGGACTTCATCACCACCCACCCACCCAGGGGACTGAGTCTGTGGGTGCTTGCACTGAGGACAAGCAGGAACTAAGAGTCGGGGAGGGGCGGCAGAGCTGCCAGGCAAGGTGGGCCCCAGGCCGGAAGCAAGAGGTTGGAAGCCTGTCTTCTAGCCAGCGGTAGCCTTGTGCCATGTCCTTGGACCCTCTGCTCCTCCCTGCACACCCCACTGGGCCCCTCTAGGACCCTCTAGAGACCTGTGAGCATGAGGGTCTTCAGACGCTTGTGTTTAGGACCCTGACTGTTTCCTCTCAAGGGACCATTGCTATAGTCAGCCCGAATCTCTGTCCAGAGGGGGGAGAAGTCCTAGGGCCAATGCCCGCAGTGAAGGCTAGGAGAAGGTGCCTTGCCCCTGGACCTAGAAGAATGAGTTGCCGCTAGAGGCTTGTGTCTGCGGGGCAGACGCCCCTTGAGCCAGCCTCCAGGCTGTGGAGAGGCTGAGCCCGGGGGGTAGGGGGGTGGGGGGGGGTTGTGGAGGGTATCTAGGAGCTTGACAGGGGCTCAGGCTCTGAGTGCTTTGGCTTCTGCCGACTTCAGCCAGGAGGCCTGGGGGCACAGCTGACTAGGCCACTTTGCCTCCGGGCCAGGAGTCACCAGGGAACCATTTGGATGCCAAGCCACTATGATTTCCGCAGCATGCCCTCTCTCCTCTTGGTGGGTGCCGCCCCAGAAGCTCAGAGCTCTGTCCTGCGCGTTCTGCATGTGACTTCCCAGGAGCTCTGTCTCCTGCCTCCTTGCAAAGGGCGCTGGGGTCGGTGGGACTCTTGGGAGCGTGGTGAGCCGGATCCCCTTTGGACGGGGAGACAGGCCTGGGCCGCCTGTGCTTCCTGGGTGTGTGGTTGGGTCTGATGAAGCAGAGCCCCTGATTCCACTCGCTGGCTTGGAAATGCCACCGGCCGTAGGCTTGGCCTTCTGCGTAGCTGTGTCTCTAGGCCTGAGAGCTAGCCTCCTTGGGCTCACAGATGAGGGCACCTCTTTGGCTCATGGAAGGGCTAAGAAGTGAGGCCCTGGGAGGCTCAGGCATCTGGCCAAATGTGCCAACCAGATCCAGGAGCCCCTCTGATGGAAACCACCAGTTCCTCCCTGGTCGGCACTTCCATTGCCGCCTGCACCGAGCAGACAGCCCAGCCCCAACTGCAGTCTCGCCAGCCCCAAATCCCAAAGGCTGCCGGCGCTCCCAGGCTGGTCTTTGTTTCCCGTCCTCACTGGGAATGAGAGCAGGATGCCCAGAGAGCTGGCTGCAGCTCTGGGCTGGGAGTCAGTCGCATGTTGGCAGGACAGGGAGTCCTCTGACCCCAGCTCCTGCTCCAGGCGCCCACATCGAGGTGTTTGGCTGAGCCCCTTCCCCTGACTTGGTGATGTCAACCCCGTAATTTGGAGGAAGGAGCTTACCGGGATTTAGGGAATTGGTGAGGCCTTCCCCTTTGGTCTGGTAGTGATGTCAAGAGGGAGACACTAGGGGGACCCATGTAGAAGTTGGAAAATGACAGTGGGGAGGCTGCGGTAGGCTGCATTGTACACAGTACATAGGGCCCTGCCCGGGCTCTAGGGCTGGCAGCTTCTAAGCGGGCCACCTGGAGCCTGAGGGGGTCCAACGGGGAGCCTGTGGGGGCTGAGATAGCACTTCTGCCTGCCGGAATCTGTCCCCGTCTGTTGCTCTCCCACCCGCTCTGGAAATGGGAATGCTACTCGCAGATCTGGTTGGGGCTGCGGTCCGGCTTGGTTTCCATCCACAAGGTTTCATTGAAGCTTTTCTCTTGGTTGCAAAACACCGGTTTGGGCCAAAGAGGCTCAGCTGCACTTTTGACCCCTCCAGGGTTCAACCCAGTCAGGCCAAGGGAGCTAGGCCAAGTTAGCAGGAAAGGCTCGGAGCTTGGAGCAATGCCTTTGTTGCAGAAGCCAGCCTGACCTCCCCAAGGGAGAGAAGGGGTCATGCTGTGTCCTAGGCCCAGGTCAGACCCTCAGGAGGGAGAGCTGGCGGGAGACATGCTTGGAGGACAATTCCTCCCCTGTCCCCGCCTGTCAGTTTATTTGAACTGAGCGGGCAGAGCTGCGCGGGCGATGCGGTGCGGTAAGGAACCTCTGAGGCGGCCTTTGCGGAGTAGCCAGAGAGGAAACAAGGTCCCCCTGGGGAGTAAAATGGTACGGTCCTCCCCTAACATCCAGCACTCCCCTCGTCCCTCCAAGTGGTATGGCCCGGGAAATACCTATGCAATCCAGTCTCCCTAGGAGCGAGGGTGTGGAAAAGCAGGGGCGTGTGCATCCTAGGATACAGATGCAACTGCCTATATATTGTATATATGGACATAGGCAGTACGTATACACACAGAGTAAGAGATGAAATCACGTCTATATATCTATAAATAATATCCTATATATTTATACATTTCTATGTTTTAAATAGATATAAAAATAGAGTCTATAGAACGGGGAGGGTGGAGGGACCGCCTGGCGTCCGGTGTGCGGAGGGGCTGGGCTCAGGGTCTGGGATGGAACTCAACAGGCGGGGCAAGCTGGGAATGGGCTCCCTACAGAGTACCACTGAGGACATCTCTTCCCCAAGACCTGGAGCCTCTGGGAGGCCTGAGCCCCAGACCCCTCTCATGCACTTTCTCGCCTTTCCCAGGCTCGGTCTGTGTTTGAAAGGAGAAGCCCCCCAGGCCCCAGCTTAAGTGCCCCCAGCGACCCCTTGAAAGCCTACCGCTAGGCGGTAGGGCGTGGTCTCTGTGCCTGGCGAGGAGCCGCTGCACAGCCTCCCAGGGAAGGAACAGAGACTGGCAATAGGAAGGGGGATCCTGGGAGATGCCTCTCCTCCTCGCTAGGCTGAGGCTGCTGCCTTCTAGAGGCTGCACCTCTGAAGTACAGCATCCTGACCGACCTCCCACACCCACTCTCTCAACCACTCACTACCCCTCTTCCCGGCAGGCTTGGGGTAGACCCTCCCCTGGAGCCCGTTCCGGCACTTAGTGACCTTGAAGGGCAGAGCAGAACTGCTAGGGTGTCCAAGGCTGTCACCTTTCCAGAAGCCGTCTGCCACCACTTTCTCCCCTGAAGCTGCTGGTGGGTTCGAACCGCCAACCTTTCTGTGAGCAGCTGAACATTTTAACCACTGAGCCACCGGGACTTCCTAGAGGTTGGAGCCTCGCCAGGCAGCCGCCCCGCCACCTAGAGGCATAGGTGGACGGGGCAGGGGCTCCAGCTCCCCAAGGGTGGTAGGAGAGTAACCTCACACACTCACTAGTTGAACCGCCAACTCCAGGTCAGACACAGGGCTCCGGCCCTGCCCGCTTTACACAGCCGCTCCCGCCGGCTGTTCTCAGGATACTGCTTCTCCCTGCCCTCCTGCTCGGAGGCCAGGGCACCCACCCGGCCTCACGCCCCTGGCAGGTTTAGTTCACATACACTGTTCTGATTCTGTGACTCCAGGCTGGGCCACGACGCCCTGTACCCGCCCACCTCCACTGCGCAAGACTACCCACCCCCAGTGTCCACTCTGAGCCCATGAGCAGGCCTCAGGGGACAGGAGTGGGGAGCCGGGCACAGTGGTTGTTGGCAGCATGACAGAGGGCTTACGCCACCCTAAGGGAAGTCAGAAGCCCATGCCTCAAGTTTCTCTCTGTCCTCCCCCTGGAGATGGGGTGGAGGGCCTGGCAGGGGCCTGGGGGACAGAGACTTATCTGCTGTCCAAGCTGGTCTTTGGCCCCTGACTCTACAAAGCACCGGTCTCCCCGCCCCCCCCCCCCAGGCTTCCTGAGACCCTCGCCCCACCCCACTCTTCCTCAGCATCCTACCAAGTACCTCAGTCTCCAGCAGACCCGCCCCCACAACGTGGAGTTGGGGGCCTACATCTGTTCTGGCTGTGCCCACCTCCCTGCCCCTCTACGTCTGCCTGGTTCTCTGAGCTGCAGCTCGTGGCCAGCCGGCTCTAAGATAACCCTCCATGCCTGGCTCAAGAGGGACCAGGCCCAGCCAAGGTGATGGGTCAGACCCACGGGCAGGGGATGGGCATCCCCGGGTAGCAATCCCACAATGCACTGTACCTCAGAGAGAGAGCACACCCCGGGGCCTCAGGAGGACCCAGCCCTCCGTCCAGAGGAGGGTAGCGGCCAGTGACCACACTGCTCATGAAGGATGAAGGTCAGGCTACCCTGCCCTGGCCACCCGCAGCCTTCCCTTCTGTCTGTCGGGAGGAGCAGCAGTCTGTCCGATTGCCGGGTCGCCGCCAGCCCCG